CAATACGCTATTCCTATCTGTCCTACTTCATTATTTCTCCTTAGCACTTATCCAACACATTATCTAATTTTACTTGCTCATTTTTGACATAGCTCATCTTCCTTACTGTTAATAAATGTCTGTCCCACAAATGTAGGGATTTCTACCTGTTTTTCTTCTCTTCATCTCCAGAGTACAGAAGGCTCTGTCTGTACTCACTAGGTTTTTACTATATATTTGTAAATGTTTGAACAGTTCCGAACTAACACCTTACTAAATTCTCATATTCCTCCTCCTTCATCTGCTGCACATAGTGATGTCTAAGATGACTTCTCCCCACTTATTCATGCAACAATATGTATATATATATATATATATATATATATATATATATATATATTTTTTTTTTTTTTTTGCTGATCCTGGGGCTTGAACTCCGGGTCTGGGCACTGTCCCTTAGCTCATTTTGCTCAGGGTTAGCACACTACCACTAGAGCTACAGCACCACTTCCTACTTTTCCTGTGATTAATTGGAGATAAGAGTCTCACTGGCATTCCTGCCTGGACTAGCTTCAAACCTTGATCCTCAAATCTCAGCCTCTTGAGCAGCTAGGATTACAGGTGTGAGTCACTGATGCCTGGCTCACTTACTGTACACCACGTACATTTTTAGGTGCTGAAGACAGAGCAATGAGGAATCAGACTAAATCTTGTATGAGAGAGAGACAGACAACATACAAATTATATGAGGTGTCAGACAGTGACAGAGGACAAAGGGAGAAAGAATGTAGAGAAGGGACATGAGACCTACTAGGTGTGCAGGATCAGATGCTCAGAGGGATGTTGGCTATTTTCTTTATACAAATAGCATTTTCAGAAACATTTTTATATATGTGTCTTTTTGTATTCCAAGCACCAGTGATGAACACATGATTTACTGAAATAACACAACCCAGATGCAGTGCAACGAAAGCACTCTCAGAGCCATCTTTTCTATCTGTGCCTTTACATGGTGTGTTACATATAACACACTTCTGGAAACACACCCTTTCAATAACACTCACCTTATTCACAACACCACTGGTATCCTTGTAAATATCTTTTTTTTGGGGGAGGGGGGGTCTGGTCATGGGGCCTGAACTCTGGGCCTGGTGCTGTCCCTCAGCTCTTCAGCTCAAGGCTAGCGCTCTACCACTTGAGCCACAGCGCCACTTCCGGCTTTTTTCTTTTTGCTTATGTGGAGCTGAGGAATCGAACCCAGGGCCTCAGGCATGCAAGGCAAGCGCTCTATCACTGAGCCACCTTCCCAGCCTTCCTTGGAAATATCTTAACATGCATCTTGCAGTAATGTGTTCCCCACACTGGGTGTGCGGCACATTCTTTAGGGGTTGTCATTGGAAGAGGGTCCTTGAAGGTACCTTGCAGAGATTTAAGAGTAGTGTTGGAGCCAATGCAAAAGAGAATAGCCAATGCAAAGGTCCTGGGGCTCCTTGTGCCTTCTGTGTTTAGAGGGATAGCAAGGGAGAGGCCAGCAAGGTGAAAATCACACTGGAGCACAGGTCTGGGATTGGAAGAGAGGTGAAGAAAGTTATGTCAGAGGGAAGTCCTGTTTTATTAATTCACAGGAATTCTATCTTTATATTAGAGAGAAGTCTAGTTCTAAGTCCTGTTTTAGAAAAAGCAAAAGGTAAAGGGAGAAAGTGATCAAGTTAATCATCTAAGGTCACACTGATACTGGGACTGGGGGTAGGTGGGTAATAAGATCGGCTGTGGAACAGTGATGGTTCTATAGGTTCTGTGGGCAGAAGGAACAGCAGAAACAAAAGCCTAGAGGTGGGAACTAATTTGGTTTCTAAAGAATGGGGTCTCACACAGGGTACAATGAGGTGAAAGAGGAATGCCTTAAAAAATGTTCTAAGCCGGGTGCTGGTGGCTCACGCCTGTAATCCTAGCTACTCAGCAGGGTGAGATCTGAGGATTGAGGTTCAACGCCAGCCAGGGCAGGAAAAGTCTGTGACTCTTTTTTTGTTTGTTTTTGGCCAGTCTTGGGGCTTGAACTCAGGGCCTGGGCTCTGTCCCTGAGCTTCTTTTGCTCAAGGCTAGCATTCTACCACTTAAGCCCCAGCGTCACTTCCAGCTTTTTATGTGTATGTGGTACTGAGGAATCAAACCCAGGGATTCATGCATGCTAGGCAAACACTACCACTGAGCCACATTCCCAGCCCTGTGAGACTCTAATCTCCATAAAACACCAAAAGACCAGAAGTGGCACTGTGGCTCAAGTGGTAGAACATTCGCCTTGAGCTGAAGAGCTAAGGGACAGTGCCCGGGCCTAGAGTTCAAGCCCCACGACCTACAAAAAAATGTTCTTGTGCCGAGTACTTACTGGGGTCACCTTTCAGAAAGGCATTTTTACCTTCCCTATGTCTCAGTTACTCAATACCTGTCTCACAGGTCTATGGTGAGACTTAGAGGAGGTAGTGAATATAAATCACTGGTGCTTAGCAAGTGCTCAATAAATGTCAGTGACTATTCTCATTGTTATCACTAACAAATTTGTTTACTGTAATAATACAAAATGTCTTAGTGGCTAAAGAGTATCTGTGAGGAAAGTTTGCTCTGCAATAAAAACGTTCTGAGTTTAGCAGAGGCCAGTGGCTCATGCCTGTAATCTAGCAACTAAGGAGGCTGGGACATAAGGATCACAGTTCAAAGCCAGTCTGGCCAGGAAAGTCTGTGAGACTCTTATAACCCAAAAGGCTAGAAGTAAAGCTGTGGCTCAAGTGGTAGAGCATTAGCCTTGAGCAAAAGAAGCTCAGTGATAGCACCCAGGCCCTGAGTTCAAGCCCTAAGTCCGGCATACACACATACACCTACACACCTATACACACATGGGCACACGCACGCATGTGTGCGCGCAACACGCACGCACGCGCGCGCACGCACACACACACACACACACACACACACAAAAATTCTGAGTTTAGCCAGGCGCTGTTAGCTCATGCCTATGATCCTGGCTACTCAGGAGGGAGAGTTCTAAGAATCCTAGTTCAAAGCCAGCCCAGGAAGGAAAGTCTGTGTGATACTCTTATCTCCACTTAACCACTAAAAAGCCAGAAGTGGAACTGTGGCTCAAGTGGAAGAACACTAGCCTTGAACACAAAAGCTCAAGGACAGTGCCTAGGCCCTGAATGCAAGCCCCAGGATCAGCACACACACACATTCCTTGCAACAAGTACCCAGACTAGGCTGACCTACTAAGGGACTGGGGGAGGGGTATCAGGGAAGATCCGTCTATCTGGCATATGGAAAGGAGGACCTTTTTTTCCCTTCTTTTTGTAGGTCATAGGTCTTGAACTCTGAGCCTGGGCACTATCCCTCTCAGCTCTTCAGCTCAAGGCTAGCGCTCTACCACTTGAGCCACAGCACCACTTCCAGTTTTCTGAGTGGTTTATTGGAGATAAGAGTCTCACAGACTGCTGCCTGGGCTGGATTTGAACCATGATCCTCAGATCTCAACCTCCTGAGTAGCTAAGATTACAGGTGTGAGCCACTGATGCCTGGCTGGAAGGAACTTTTTTTTTTTTTTTTTTGTAAGTGCGCTGGTCCTGGTCCTGGGGCTTAAACTCAGGCCCTGGGCACTATCCTTGCACTTTTGTGCTCAAGGCTAGTGCTCTACCACTTTAAGCCACAGCTCTATTTCTTGCCTTTTGGTAGTTAATGGGAGATAAGACTTCCCAGACTTTCCTGCCCAGGCAGGCTTTTATCCTTGGTCCTCAGATCTCAGGCTTCTGAGTAGCTAGACTTACAGGCATGAGCCACCAGCACCTGGCAGGACCTTTTTTGTGTGTGTGCAGTCCTTGAACTTGGGGTCTGGGTGCTATCCTTGAGCCTCTGTGCTCAGGGATAGCACTCTACCACTTGAGCCACAACTCTACTATAGGTTTTTATTGGTTAATTGGGGATATGAGTTTTAGGGTCTTTGCTGCTTGGGCTGGCTTTGAACTGAGATCATCAGATTTCAGCCTCGAGTAGCTAGGATTACAGGCACGAGCCATCAGTGCCTGGCTAGGAAAAACCTTCTTGAGAGAGGGACAGCAAGCACTGGACACATGGGAGGACTTAAGAGGGTGTGAATGCCAGCATAGGGATAGCATGAAGCCAATTAACCAATCCACTATAAGGGGTAAGGGGATCTGGCTCATCTTCTAGAGGCAGAGTGAGCAGAAAAAACTTTCTCCTGTACAATAGTGGAGGAGAGGAAAAGCCATTACAGTGATTTAAAGTGAGAGGACAGAAAAAGATATGGACTGGGCTACTGAAAATGACTGAATATAAAACACTAAACTGACCCACTATTGAAAGGGAGGAATCTATAAATAAAATAGTTAAGGAAATGGGCTGATGAGTATGTGAATACAAACATGTAGACCAATCTACTATAAAGTGTGGGGAGTAAAGCCATGAACTGAGGGGCATTAGGGCGTTGAAGGAGGCAAGAATACAAACTCAGATGGTCTCACCATTAGAGGTGAGTGTACTGCTGGATATATAAGGCAGCACGAATTGATTCACTACAAGGAACTGGGAGGGGTGGAATATAAACAAGGCCACAGACCGGTCTCCTGAAAGTTGAGACCTGAAGAAAGATAAACACTTAAACGCACCTACTATTAAGGGGGTTGGACAATGCCACAGACTGCCTCCCAGTAAGTGGAGGGGGGGGGGCCGAGAGGGGGGGAAAGACCACGGACGAGTCCACCGTAAGTTAGGGTAGGGAAAAATAAAAGCACGCAGACCGATCCATTATACAGCCGGAAAGGGTGGTTACGCCACAATCAGATTCACTACAAGGGACGAAGGGAGGGGCAATGCACACGCAGGTCACCAACCCTTGTGGTGGCTATAGGGAGTCTAACACCAGGAGGCCACAGGACAAGCCACATTCCCTGTGCGGGGGTGGGAAGGATACGTGGGGTCACAGACAGGGCCCTCCACCCTTCAGGCCCAGAGCTCACCTGTGTGTGGCGAGGTGGCAGTGTTGGCAGCTCCGGGGGGCGGGGGCTCCATACGCAGCCCCACCGCCCCCCAAGCCCGGATTCTGAAGCAGCAGTAGCGGTGGTGGCGGCAGCACCTAAAAGCCGCCCCAGCGTTTCTCCACCGCTCACGTGGGCCCGGGGTGGGAGGAGGAGCCAAGCATCCCGCCGTTCCCTTATTGGCCAAAGCATCAGGGACCAACTACATCGCTTTGGAGCTGGGGGGCGGGCCCTATCCTATAGAGCTATGCAATGATTGGCTTGAAGGAGTTGATGGACTGGCTGGAGAGGGCTTGCACTCGCTGGCGCTCCACCCCGATTGGTTCAAGTAAGACTGAACAACTGATTGGCTTAAACAGGATTGATGGCAGATGAGAAGGCACCTAGCATAGGGGGTGGGTGAGTCCTGCTTTCAGTTGATTGGTAGAGACTCCGAGACAGCTGCCAAAACACCAAGCAGGCAGTGCTGCACACCATGCCGCCCGGCGGAAGCAGGACTTATATAGAAATGGGTGTAGCAGCCCGCGGGGAAAGGGTCAGGTGGGCTCTGCGTAGGCAGGCAAGGTAACTATATATATGGTGATTGGCTAGAAAAGACAAATTTAGAAACAAGCAGGAGGGCTGGATGGCTGCCAAATACGCAAAGGAGCTGAGTGGCAGAAATTAAATGTATACAAAGAGGGCAAGGTAGAGCTGTGGCCAGTTCCAAGAGGACGGACGCTGGGGTCTTCCATAATCAAGGTAAGGTGGTCTCAACTGAGACGAGGGGCTGGAGTAGGGAGGGTGGTATCTGTACCCACTAGTGAAACCTGAAGTTATTTAGAAGCAGGAGGAAGACTATAGTTGGGTATGGGTGTTACTTAGGGTATTTCAGGAACCACTGAGGTATAGGAGAGGGGAAAACCTTAGGGCCAGGACTGAATGGCCGCTGGCAGTGGGAGCAAATCACTTTTAATTGGTCCATTCTCTATAGCAGTTTAGGAAAAGGAACAAAAGGTGAGGTGGGGCTCAGGCTGCTAAGATGACTGAAAAGTGGGCAAAGTATAAAGTGACAAATGCTACTGAGCAACAAGCTAGAGACAGGACTTCCAGGATGATTTTAAAGGTTCTACCTAGAAACCCTATCTCTGGGTGTCCTAGTAACTTTGTGCTCTAGAAACAGGACATATTGGCCACCATCAGGGCTTAGGGGAAAAAGAAGGGCCATGTGACTCCAAGGCATTTAGGCTCTTTAATGTCAGAGGATGGGAAGTAGTAATCAATGGTGAGCTGGCTCTGGGAAATTCTGCAGGCCCTGTAGTTCTCTCAGCCCCTGCAAAAGAAGTTAGAAAAAGTTGAATAGGTTAGGGCCAAGCTTTGCCCCCGCTTTCCCTAGACTCCTCTTTAGAGGGAAAAATAGTCCTGCTCTACTTTGGTTTTCTCCCTTCTTAACCACCCTACACTTATCTGGGGATAGTGTGGGAGTGGAGTTGAGCTGTTCTCACCTCTAGCAACATGTGGATATGAGCCTTGATATTCATGGAGTCCTTGGTGAGGCTGTTGCTGAGCCTGGAGAAAAGAAACAAGAGAACAGTGGGGCCCACTTTTGATTATGAGGTTGACCCTTCATCATTTCAAGAACTGCCTGTATCCTGGAGGACTGCCACTCAAGACTAGCTACCACCTGGACTACACTGATTTAAAGGTAACAGAATGCCTACTTATGCCAGGCAGTTTTAGGCACTGGGGAGAAAGACACAGACTGAAGAAACAAAATCTCCTGACCTCATGGAGTTCAAATTCTTGCTAAAAGAGACAAATGAATGACAGAACAAAATACATGGTATGCCAGATGGCTGTTAAGAATAAGGAAAAATTGAACAATCAGGGAAGATAAGGAGTAGGGGAGTAGAGGCTTCAGTTCTAAGTAGAGTTAGGAATGACTTCACTGAGAAGCATTTTTTGAGACAAGGTCTCATTATGTAGTTCTGGCTGCCCTTGACCTACTGCATCAGCCTCCCAAGTGCTAGCATTACTGTTCTACATGTTCATTCCTGGCCACTGGAAAACATTTGAATTGTCTTATTAAAGTGTAGTGAATAATGTGGTTATATCGGGGATGGGTATTCCACATGGGTCAGCCAATACAAAGGCACCAAGGTGGCAGTTGTGTCTGGCATGTTTGAGGCACAACCAAGAGGTCATTGGTTGCAGAGTAAGTAAAGGGGGCTTCTAAGAGGTGAAGGTATAGAGGTAAGTAAAGAGGCAGACTGTATAAAGCCTGCAAGGCCATAGTAAAAGACCCTGGCTTTTACACTAAATGAGGCAAGAGCTGGGGGAGGGGTGGGAAAAAAGGAAGCAAAGAAGGGATGCATCCATTTGTCTGTGGAGCAGAGAAACATGGAGGCAGCAGTCCAGTGAAACTGATACTACAATAGTCCAAATAAGAGATAGAAGATCAGCTGGGCGCTGGTGGCTCATACCTACAAGCCTGGCTACTCAGGAGGCTGAGATCTGAGGATTAGGGTTCAAAGCCAGACTGGGCTGAAAAGTGCCCATGAGACTCTTATCTCCAATTAACCACCAGACAGCTGGAAGTGGAGCTGTGGCTCAAAGAGGTAGGGCTAGCCTTGAGCAAAAGAGCTCAGGGACAGTGCCCAGGCTCTGAGTTCAAGCCCAACTGACAAATAGAAGTTCAGACCACTGTGGTGGCAGTTGGGGTGCTGAATATGACTGGACTTGATAGGGAATGGGGAGGATGTAATATGAATTGAGGGGCAACAGTATTTACTAAAGTGTTGCATGCCCAGGTATGAAAGAAAGGACTCAAGGAAGAGGCCAAGGCATAAACAACTGGGAATCTAGATTGACAGAAACCACCCTAACCTTCCACTATTGAGTCACATAGTCAACTCCCTTTGTTCAACCTTTTTGGACCAGGTCTCAGTCAAAAAGAATCTGCATGGGCAAAAAGGGCCAAGGATTGCTTTTCTGAAAAATGAAGAGTGAAAAGAAAATGAGTACAAGTTAAATAGCAGAAAGATCTTTCCCACAGAAAGACAAGAGGAAGGAAAGAACTTTTTGAGGATTAACCAGGAGGCCAAAGCATTAGAATTAAGTGAATGGTGATATGGTATCAAATAAGGAGGCAGGAAGGGGCTAGATCACATACATAGTCTCCACAGTATAAGGAATGCTGGTTTTATTGTGCTATTAATGTAGGATTCAGTTTGAATGGTAGGTGAAACTACCATGTAAAGAACAGAAGATGTTAAGTGAAAAAATATGAACCCAGCGAAACTAATGTCACCACATTTATATTGCCAGCCCAGACCTGTCTCCTGAATCCAATCTATGACTTTTATCTGCAAAAATCCATTTCAGCATTTAATAAGCACCTCATACAGGCTCCTGACTGAACTCCTGCTCTACCAATACATTCTTCTCCATTTCAGATAATAACAACTCTATCCTTCCAGTTACTCAAAAAAAACCTAGAGATCTGTCTTTCATTTCCTATCCCTCCAGTGCTGGGGATTGAATGCAGGGCTTCATGCATAGCAAATACTAGACCCTGAGTACAAGCCCCAGTACCACCATAAAATTAGTTTATGCATGGTGCTGGTGGCTCATACCTGTAATCCAAACTACTCATGAGGCTAAGATCTGAGGGTTGCAGTTCAAAACCAGCCTGGGCTGAAGCCATGAAACTCTTATCTCCAAATAAATATAAAAAAGCAGAAAATGGAACTGTAGTTCAAGTGGTAGCGTGCTAGCCTTGACCCACAGAAGCTGAGTCACTGCCCAAGCTGTGAGTTCAAGCCCCAGAACCAGCACACACAAAAAATTAGTTTAAGCCGGGTGCTGGTGGCTCACGCCTGTAATCCTAGCTATTCAGCAGGCAGAGATCTGAGAATCAGCCAGCCTGGGCAGGAAAGCCAAAAGTGGCGCTGTGGCTTAAGTGGTAGAGTCCTAGCCTTGAGCTGAAGAGCTGAGAGACAGCATCTAGGCCCAGAGTTCAAGCCCTACAACTGACAAAAAAAATCAGCTTAACAGTACAAGCTTTTGGAAAGGCTATAAAAAAGGAGAGGAGGGCTGGGAAGGTGGCTCAGTGGTAGAGTGCTTGCCTTGCATGCATGAGGCCCTGAGTTCAATTCCTCAGCACCACATAAGCAGAAAAAGCTGGAAGTGGCGCTGTGGCTCAAGTGGTAGAGTGCTTGTCTTGAGCTGAAGAGCTGAGGTAGTACCCAGGTCCCCATGACAAAAAAAAAAAAAACAAAACAAAACAAGATAAAAAAGGAGAGGAGAGGATTAGAGGCATAGTTCATTGGTAGAACTTAGTATGTGCATGCCCTGGGTTCAGTCTTTAGCACCAAAAAAAGGCAAAAAGGGAGAAAGAAAGAAAGAAAGAAAGAGAGAAAGAAAGGAAGGAAGGAAAGAAGGAAGGGAGAAAAATGAAAACTCATTAATTACCAGTGGTACACAAAAAGGTTGCTTTAATCTATTACTACAGATTTAATGAAATAGTCATGTTATACTGCTTCAATAATTCCATATTTATGAGATATGGAGATACACTTCTAATCAATAAAAAATACAGAGACTCCCCTCTCCAAACAAATATGCTAAAACATAAGAACTACTGCAGGTTATATTGTTTACATAAAGTAACTAGAAAGTTACTTTGAAGTGTTAAAGTTTAAAAAGGAGGGTTAGTGATATAGACTCAAATCCTTACTCTTTGAAAGAGGAAGCTTTATTAGCTGTAATATAGTAATATGAAAGTCAGCAATAATTTTCCATTACACTAATAGACCAGGTCAATATAGTAAAAAAAATTAGATAAAAGATGCTGGGAAGGTGGCTCAGTGGTAGAGTGTTTGTCTTGCATGCATGAGGCCCTGGGTTCGATTCCTTAGCACCACGTATGCAGAAAAAGCCGGAAGTGGCGTTGTGGCTCAAGTGGTAGAGTACTAGCCTTGAGCTAAGAGCTAAGGGACAGTGCCCAGGCCCAAAGTTCAGCCGCCACAACCGACAAAAAAAAAAAAAAAAAAAATTAGATAAAAGAGTGGATGCTGGCAAATGCCTCATTGGAAGGAAAGTCAAAAAGCCTCAAAAATTTTAAATATATTAGAAAGGCCTAGGAATCGTGACACAGATATATTATAAAAACCGGGTGGGGCGCTGGTGGCTCACCCCTATAATCTTAGCTACTCAGGAGGCTAAGATCTGAGGATCACGGTTCAAAGCTAGCCTGGGCAGGAAAGCCCATGAGACTCTTATCTCCAATAAACCACCAGAAAACCAGGAGTGGTGCTGTAGCTCAAGTGGTAGAGTGCCCCCCTTGAGCTGAAGAGCTGAGGGGACAGTGCCCAGGCCCAGAGTTCAAGCCCCATGACTGACCAAAAAAGAAAAAAAGAACTGGACTTGGAGCAAACAGCCAGTAGCTCATGACTGTAATTTTACTAAAGAGGCTGAGATCAGAGAATAACAGTTTGAAGCCAGCCTGGGCAGATAAGTTTCTTTGTCTAATTAACCAGCAAAAATCCTAAGCCCAATTAACCAGTAAAAAATCCAGAAGTGGATTACAGAAATGAATGTAGGAATAAACATAGCCAAGGAAATATTTTAATTAGTAGTCACACTATGAGAGGTTGTCTGTGTGTATTCCTCCATTTAAGCCATGCTTGCTTTACTTGGCAGTTTCTTTACCATGCTAGACAATGTCCCCTTTCCTAGGAATGCTCTTCCCCATGGCTTGTTCACTCAATCAAATGTCACTTCCTCTGGAAGACTTCCCTATGTACATTTCAAAGCCTTCATCCACAGTCCCAAATGCTGTTCCCTGCTCCAAACCTAAATTTACCTGGAGGCCATCCTTTCTCTCCCCATCACTACCACATCCACCTGCTTCTATTACCATTTTAATTTACTTCCAGTATGCCCTTACAAACTTCTTCACCAGTCTACTATATATTGTGTAATAATTTGGTCAGTTGGGGCATAGACAAAAAATTTCTCCCTTTATAAAGCTTGTAACCTGGACTTTGCGTAGCTCCATTGCCCAGCACACAAGATGTATTGGGTTTGAGTCCCAGCAGTGCAAAAAAAAAAATTTTCTTTTAACATATAATCTAATTGGAGGAAACAACAAATGAAAGAAATTACAGTGTAAGCCAGGTGCTTGAGTCTCATGCTTGTAATCCTAATCAGGAGGCTGAGATCTGAGGATCGTGGTTCAAAGCCAGCCCAGGCTGGAAAGTCTTCGAGGTTCTCATGTCCAATAAACTACTCAGAAAAAGCTGAAAATGATGCTGTGGCTCACGTGGTAGAGTGCTAGCCTTGAGCAGAAGAAGCTCAGGGACAGCATCTAGGCCTGGAGTTCAAGCCCCAGGACAAACAAAAAAAAAGAAAGAAAGAAAGAAAGAAAAAGGAAGGAAGGAAGGAAAGAAAAGAAAGAAAGAAGGAAAGAAAGAAGGAAAGAAAGAAGGAAAGAAAAGAAAGAAAGAAGGAAAGGAAGGAAGGAAGGAAGGAAGGAAATAGAAAGAAAGAAAAGAAATTACATATTGGGAGGTGATATTTACAGGGGAGAGAGGAGAGTGGGGAGAAAACACAGAGGAGTCAAGAGTGCTATTTAAAAGTAATAAAAGTTAGGTTACAGCTGGGTGCAGGTAGCTCACACTTGTAATCCTAGCTACTCAGGAGGCTGAGAGCTGACGATCACAGATGGAAGTCTGCCTGGGGAAGGAAAAGTCCATGAGATTCTTATATCCAGTAAGCTATCAAAAACCCAGAAGTAGGGCTGTGACTCCAGTGGTACAGTGCTAGTCTTCAGCAAAAGAAGCTTAGGGATATTGGCTAGGTTTTGAGTTCAAGTCACAGGACCAACACACACACGCACGCACGCAGGCACGCAGGCACGCACGCACGCACGCACGCACGCACGTTAGGTCACAAAAAGACTAATTGAAATAATATTCAAGACAACAGAGAAGGAAGGAAGCCATATGAAACATGCCCTGCAGGCAGACAGACCACTGTATTTGTCATCAGGTGCAACCATTCAGTAAGAGCAGGAAAACCAGCAGAACATGATGTGAGAGATAACTTGTTTTATTGTTGCTGACATACAGGCTGCAACCACATGGACCTGCTCATAAATGAACTATGTAGGGCAGGATAGTCCCTCTGGAATGTAAGCCTTCTAAGACTTTGTCTTGTACCCATCTTCATTCCTACCACCAAACACATTCTGGTATATAAGAGATGCTCAATAAATATTTTTGTGAACCAACAACACAAAAACCATTTACTGGGTGTTAATTACATGCCACATCTGGGGTGGAACTATGTATCCCCGCCTTCATCATCCTTAAGTAACAACCCAGGTAGCCATGGGGAAGAGTGTTGAAAATGGTAACATTTTTGTGTTATATATGTGTGTTGCTGTGGATGGAACTCAGAGCCTCAAGCATTCTAGGCATGCACTATACTAGTGAGCTACATCTCTGGTCAATATTGGTGTTTTTAGACACTATCCTCAAGCAAGACTTACTCTGTGAGGAGAGAGCTCTTACGATCAATAAACTTGAGTGCTTCTGCCAGTGTCAACTCCAGGAAAAACCCATATCCCAGGGCTACATAGATGCGTGAAGTATCTGAGCTGAGAAAAGAAGTCGGAGGATGTATCAGAAGTCCTTATTACTTACTGTGTAGCAAAGTATACAGTTCCTTTGTTTTTTACTACCTCCCCTTTCCCAAACTGAGGCATTGGAAGGGCAAGGATTTTGACCTATTTTATTCACTGTTACATCCCCAGCATCTGGCTCATATTCTGATGACGTATAAAAGCATAGTGCTTGGTACACAGAAGACACTGAAAGAGTATTTACTATATGAAGGAAAAGGTAAGCTTAGCCCTGTGGACTCAGAGAGGTGGGAAGACACTTACACCACTGTGTCAACGAAGAAGTTACAGCCCAAATCCACCTGCATATATAACTCCGAGTGATTAGCTTCCTGTAGGGCCAGGGAAAAAGAGGTAGGGGTCATTGGTCAATTTCTTAGTCCATTAACAGGTTTTGATCTGGGGTTTCTCTTCCCATCTTGCTTATTTATTCCACTTCTTCCAAATAAAAACTGATACCCTACCCAGAAGTCTTTACCTGGAGTCGCTCAATGACATTTTTCAGCTGAAGGTATGTGGCCAGCTGCTCATATACTTTGTCTCGATGGTCCAATACTTTTCTGATAGGATGAAAATACAAACTCATAGGCACTATTCCTTTTGGAAAAATCTCACATTATGCCCTAACAGGCATTCTAAGCCAAGCATGGAGTTACATACTTGCAATATCAGAACTCAAGAGGCTTAGGTAGGAGAATCCCAAGTTTGAGACCAGACTGGCCTACATAATGAGGCCCTATTTCCAAAACAAAATACACATTTTAGTTCTTATGTTAAGTTTGGACTCTGGGTCAAACTGCCTGGGTGTAAATCTGAGCTGTATTATTTACTAGCTGTGTGACTTTGGCAAGTAATAAACCTGTTTGGGACTTAGTTTCCACAATTATAAAACAGAGATGACAATATTTCTTAGTAAGAATCCTTAGTCTTTTGTAGCTTCCCCCCCCCCCAGGGGTGAGGGCTGAACCCAGGGCCTTGTGCTCGCCAGGGGGGCACCCTTCCGCTGAGCTAAACTCCCAACCCCAGTAAGAATCCTTAGGATCATTTCTTCCCACAATGCACTTAGAATAATGCCAACTACTTATCACTATTATGTCTTCCAAGGCCTCATGCCAATCAATGGCCCACCCTCAGACCTGAAATATCCTCCACCTTTTAGGATGCTCACCAAGTCCTACTTCTGAACACTTGCTGAGATTAATTACAGCAATGCTTTTTTTTTTCTCCCATTACTGGAACCTGAGCTCAGGCTCAAAATCAATGGGCTTTCTTATTCATGGCCTGCACTCTACCACTTGAGCATGAGTCCAGCCCAGTTTTTTGGTGATGAGCTCTTGTGGACCTTTCTGCCTGGGATGGCTCTGAACTATAACCTTCCAAATCTCAGCTTCCTAAGTAGCTAAATTGTAGGCTTCAGCTACCAGCCCAGCTGCTTTAAGTTTTCACAATTAATGAATCTCTTGTGTTTCAGCCATCAGTTAAATTCTATTTTTTTTTTTTTTTTTGTCGTTCATGGGGCCTGAACTCTGGGCCTGGGCGCTGTTCTTCAGTTCAAGGCTAGTGCTCTACCACTTGAGCCACAAAGCCACTTCCCTTTGTTTCTGCTTATGTGGTGCTGAGGAATCAAACCCAGGGCCTCATGCATGCAAGGCAAGCATTTTACCACCGAGCCACCTTCCCAGCCCCTTAAATTCTATTTTAAAAACATTTTTGACAAGGTCTCTCTGTAATCCAGGCTGGTCTCAATACTCTTGCCTCGGTGTCCTGAGTTGTATCTGTGGCCATTTGACTTCTGCTACATTTTTTATTTTTTGGTCAGTTGTGAGGCTTGAACTCTGGGCCTGAGTGCTGTCTCTTAGCTCTTCAGCTCAAGGCTAGCGCTCTACCACTTGAGCCTTAGCACCATTTCTGGCTTCTTTTTGCTTATGTGGTGCTGAGGAATCGAACCCAGGGCCTCATGCATGCAAGGCAAGCACTCTACCACTGAGCCACTTCCCCAGCCCCCTGCTACTTTTTTTTTTTTTTTTTTTTTAACAAGGATTGACCACTGTTAGAAACCGCAAACCACCAAATGAAGTTTCACAAACTACCCCATGTTACAGATGAGGCACGTTTGTGAGGTACAGAATGGCCAGGTAGAGTGCGCTGTGTTCACATGGCTAAGCCAGGACTACCGCAAGAACTCTGGTTCTGGAACGACAGCTCTATCTGATAAGTAGTATCAAAGGCCATTCTGCTAAGAACATCAAGTTCCATCCAAAATGTACCCTGGATGTCACCCCTCTTTCGTTTGCTCTGCCCACCAATCCGATGGCTTGGCCCTAATTCAGAACGCCCAACCCACCACGTGGAATGTTCCGAATGCCCCACCTCCCGCGCTGTCCCTCACCGCAAGTCCCGCTGCAGCACGTCACTGATAAAGGCCTCGTAGCGCAGCACTTTTTCCCCCGTGGCTTCCACAGCCCGGCGTTTAGGGGGCGTCGCCATAATGGGCTCCTGGGGAGTGAGGAGGGGGAAAGGCCACATTAACCACTCGTTTTATCTTAGGCACACCTATCTCCGCCCTCTCAATATTAGGAATAGACTCATTCGGCTAATGTTTGGAGATTCCGAATTCTTCCCATCTCGACTTCGGGACTTATTGACCCGGGACACCCACACGCGACCCTTACCTCAGGCCCGTCGGCAATAAGAATTGTTGGTGTGAACCGCGGCTTCCGGGAGGCGCGGGTAAATGACGCAGGCAAACACGCTGGCCAACCAGATAGCCAGACGGGGAAGGGGACATTCCGAACGGAAGAAGACCGACCAAAGGGAAGAGGACAGAGGCGGGACTTCACGGAATTGCTGAGGTCACGGAAGACTGCAGTGTAGCCGTAGAAAGCCCAGTGGTGTACTTAGAAATCGGCGCTTGGAGTCTGTGGGGACTATGTTTAGCAGGTGGGGGGGGGGGGGGGTTGCAGTTTAATGAGCTTTGGAGGGGTTGGGGGCTGAGACAGGACGCATAGGTGGAATTAGGGCGAGGGAATAAAGTATTTATAATTTAAAAAGCAGGGCCAGGCGCCGATGGCTCACGCCTGTAATCCTAGCTACTCAGGAGGCTGAGATCTGAGGATCACAATTCAAAGCCAGCCCAGGCAGGAACCTCCGTGAGACTCTTATTTCCAATAAACTACTCAGAAAACCAGAACTGGCGCTGTGGCTCAAGTGGTAGAGTGCTAGCCTTGAGCTGAAGAGCTGAGGGACAGCGCCCAAGCCCAGAGTTCAAGCCCCAAGACCGACCAAAAAACAAAACAAAAAACAGGAGGGCCTTCAAACTGGCCAGAATTCTTGGTGTTTTTCAGCTTGGGGGCGTGGCTCAATAGTAGAGCCTCTCCCTAGCAAGGTGAGGGGACCGATCCTGAGTTCAAAGTCTAGTACCAGGCTGGGAAGGTGGCTCAGTGGTAGAGCGCTTGCCTTGCATGCATGAGGCCCTGGGTTCGATTCCTCAGCACCACATAAGCAGAAAAAAAAAGCCGGAAGTGGCGCTGTGGCTCAAGTGGTAGAGCGCTAGCCTTGTTCAGGCCCCACGACTGGACCTCCCCCCCCCCCCCAAAAAAAAATCTCTAGTACCACCATCAATCAATGACTTCATTATAGTTCAAGTCTGCAGGGAAAGATACATTATTTTTATTTTTAATAAGGGAAGTTTGGGTTTTACTCCCAGTTATGGGAATCAGTTGAGCACTTAAGTATTTTTAAATGGCCTGGAGCCTGTGGTTCATGCCTGTAATCCCAGCTACTCAGGTGGCTGAGATTTGAGGATTGAAGCCAGCCCAGGCAGTCTGAGATCTGAGGATCACAGTTTGAAGCCAGCCTGGGTAGGAAAGTCCTTGAAACTCTTTATCTCCAATTAATCACTCCCCCCCCCTCCCAAAAAAAGCTGAAAGTGAAACTGGTTCAAGTGGTAAGAACACTGTCCTTAAGCAGAAAGTTCAGAGACTGCCCAGGCCCTGAGTTCAAACCCCAGCACCAGAACAGGGTTTTTTTTCTTTTTTCTTTTTTTTTTTTTTTTGGGGGGGGGGGGTCAGGTCGTGGGGCCTGAACTCTGGGCCTGGGCGCTGTCCCTCAGCGCTTCAGCTCAAGGCTAGCGCTCTACCACTTGAGCCACAGTGCCACTTCCAGCTTTTTTTCTTATGTGGTGCTGAGGAATCGAACCCAGGGCCTCAGGCATGCAAGGCAAGCGCTCTACCACTGAGCCACCTTCCCAGCCCGTTTTTTTTTTTTTTCAAGTGAAAACAAATTTACTATAATTCCTCTTTGATGATTCCTGTGATGTGACTAGCAATTCACAATTGGAGAACAAGTGAAGACTGGCAAAGCTCTGTCTTACTTAATAGTAGAATGGACTGTTGTTGAAGATCTCCATGGAGGATCTGTTAACCTAACTTGTAGTTAGAAAAAGTCTCTAGTACCTGTTCCTGTGCTTTTTGTTTTTTCCTAGTGGAGATTGCGATCCTCAGGATGGGCAAGTTCTCTACCACTTGGGTCATGCCCTGCCCACTCAGATCTTTTCTTTAAGTTTGTTTTTCAGATAGGATTTTGTCTTTGTCTTCAGCTGCCTCAAACTGTCATCCTTCTCCGTTTCCTACTAGTGGCTGTGATTCCAGGTGTGTATCAACATGCCTAGCCAATGCATATGTTTTTATTTAAGCCTATAAGTTTTCAATGAATTTGTTTTGATGCTCTAGAGTGACTGAATACATTTCTTTCCTGTACTAGATTTTCAAACAACAATATCCAGCAAGTGAAGGCATGAGCCTGGGAGAGAAAAGGGATGCCAGGATTCCCTAAATGCTGTTCCCACCTGCAGCACTCTTACCAAGGAAGTCTTCAGGGCCATGTGTGCTATATTGTTTGTAAAGCAAGGATTTTTGTGTGTACAGGTTTGCCCCTTAGATGCCCCAAACCTGAGCAAATCAAATGTCTTGCCCTTGGATCAAGGTACTTGGAAACATTGAGTTACCTTTAAATCTCATATGTGATTAAAGTTATATTTAATGTGCTTTAACAAACACTAACTGGTTAGAAAAATATTACCTAATCAAAACCATGTTTTATGAGAAGAGAGAAAATGTCTATTTGGTAGAAAAAGCATAGGTCTGGTGGGATGGAGAGGTAATCTGTCCAAGTCTACTAACATTTCACAAAAAACTTTTTTGCTTAAATGTTTCCAACTTTAATTTATATTTTTTTGTGTGACAGTCCCGGGGCTTGAACTCAGGGCCTGGCAACTGTCCCTGAGCCTTTTTGCTCAAAGCTAGTGCTATACCACATAAGCTGCAGTTCCACTTTCAGCTTCTTTGGTGATTAATTGGAGATAAGATTCTATGGACTTTCCTTTCCAGACTGGCTTCAAACTTCAATCCTCAGTTCTCAGCCTCCTGAGAATTAAGATTAGAAGTATGAGCTACCAGCGCCCAGCCCCCCCCCCTTTGTTTGAGGTCTGAAATGGGGACTCAAACTTGATATCTGCTGCTTTGGCTTATTAGCTAGCTCTCTACCAACTGAGCCATGCTTCCAACTCCAGCCCATTAATTTATATTTCATACTTACAGATCAGTTACTAGTGAATCCTCAGAGCCTTCATTCAAATTCACCAGTTGGCGTGTGTGTGTGTGTGTGTGTGTGTGTGTGTGTGTGTGTGTGTGTGTCACTGTTGGCTCACTCCTGGATTAGCTAGGATTAGCTACTCCGGAGGCTGAGATCTGAAGATCACAATTCAAAGCCAGTCTGTGCAAAAAAAGTCTGAGACTCTTAATATCTAACCACCAAAAAAACCTTTACATGGAAGTATAGCTCAAATGGTAGAGTGTCAGGGGCTGGGAAGGTGGCTCAGTGGTAGAGTGCTTGCCTTGCATGCATGAGGCCCTGGGTTCGATTCCTCAGCACCGCATAAACAAAAAGCAAAAAGCCGGAAGTGGCGCTGTGGCTCAAGTGGTAGAGTGCTAGCCTTGAGCTGAAGAGCTGAGGGACAGCGCCCAGGCCCAGAGTTCAGGCCGACCGGACCCAAAAAATGAAAATTAAAAAAAAAATGGTAGAGTGTCAGCCTTGAGTGAAAAAGAAAAAGGAAAAAGTGAGAGGTCCATAGCTGGGTACCAGTGGCTCATACTTATAATCTTAGTTACTCAGGAGGCTAGAACTAAGGATTATGGTTCAAAGCCAGCCAGGGTAGGAAAGTCTATGAGACTCTTATCTCTAAAATAAATTACCAAAAAGGCAGAAGTTGAGCTGTGGCTCAAGTGATAAAGTGCTAGTCTTGAGCAAAAGAAGTTCAGGAACAGTCAGGGGCCAGTTGCTCAAGCCTGTAATCCTAGCTACTCTGGAGGCTGAGATCTGAGGATCACAGTTCAAAGCCAGCCTGGGGAGGAAAGCCCAAGAGACTCTTCTCTCCGGAAGTGCCACTGTGGCTCAAGTGGTAGAGTGCTCTCCTTGAGCTGAAGAGCTGAGGGATACCACTCAAGCCCAGAGTTCAAGCCCCACAACCGACAAAAAAAAGAAAAAAAAGTTCAGGGACAACACCCAGGCCCTGAATTCAAGTCCCAGTACTGGCACCAAAAAAAGCATGAATTAAGCACAAATAGATTACTATATGAAGGTCAAATTTCAGTTTCTGCTAATAACTTTTTGAGAATGTATGTGTGGGGCTAGAACACAGGGCCTGGGTGCTGTCTCTGGGTTTTTTTTTTGGTCAAAGCTACCAGTGCCCAGATAATAATGGTTTATTGGAACATAGCTATAGTAATTCATCTACCTATCATCTGTGACTGCTTTCAAGCTACAACGGAAAGCTGAATAGTTGCCAAAGAGATAAAATGGTCTAGAAATCCTAAAGTATTTAATACCTGGAATTTTACAGAGAAGATGCCAATGTCAGGTGCTGGTGGCTCACTCTTGTAATCCTGAGGCACTGAGATATGAGGATCTCAGTTCAAAGCCAGTCCAGGCAGAAAAGTCTGTGAGACTCTTATCTCCAATTAACCATCCGAAAACTGGAGGTGGAGCTGTGGCTCAAAGTGGTAGAGCATTAGCCTTGAGCAAAAGAGCTCTGGGACAGTGCTCAGGCCCTAAGTTCAAGCCTCATGACCAATAATACATAAACAAAAGATGCCAATGCCAGCACTCTACATGATCATGTCATTCACCAATGCAGAGGTTTCAGCTGTAGCCACGTGGGTCTTTCTGGGTTCTAGTTATAAACTGTTCTGACTAATAGGTGGACATTTTCAGGCTTGTGCTTTCAGGGCTGTACAGACACTGACCTATTCCCAGCCAGTGTAAGAGATCAAGTGTATCTATTTCACTTTCATTTGTATTTTATATCTCTCAATTCAACATTTTTTGTGCTGGTCCTGGAGGTTTAACTCAGGGCCTGGGCCCTATCCCTGAGCTTTTTTGCTCTAGGCTAGCATTCTAAAACTTGAGCCACAGCTCTACTTCTGTTGTTGTTGTTGGTTTGGTTTGGTTTTGGTGGGGTTTTTTTTTTTGTCTATTAGAAATAAGAGTCTTCTAGACTTTCCTGCCCTGGCTGGCTTTGAACTGTGATCCTCATATCTAAGTGTCCTGAGTAGCTAGGATTATAGTTGTGAGCCACTGGCACCTGGCTCAAGAAGAGGTACTTTTGTTCTAGAGAGCCAATGGCACAGTCTGTTCTGTGGCCTTCTGGCTGGCAGAGTCCAGAAGC